TGCGCTTCTAACGATCGTTCACTCGTCGGCCGGAAGTCATTATCTTCGGAGTTATAGCGGTTCAAAGTTTTCTCAATTTTAATGGAGTTTAACGGTAAATAAATAAAAATTACGATGCTCTTTACACGATGATATTTCTGGAACCGAAAGTCGTATTGAAATAAACGAGAGAGCATTTTAAAGGGGACAGTTGCACGCTTTTAATGATCGTTCATTCGTTGGCCGGAAATCATTATTTTTGGAATTAAAGCGGTTCAAAGTTTTCGTAATTTTAATACGCTTTTAATCACGTTTTGAGATGAATCGTTACGACACAATCGTTCAAGGATATTTTAGTCGATTTGGTTGAAAATTCACAGTTTACAATTGTTGTGTCCAAGTGTTGTCATTAAACGATCGATGTCAACTCGCTCGATCAAAATTACTACGAATTTTCCAAAGAAAAATGTTGCAATTAATCGAGGAAAAGTGGGCGGTTGACAGACGATTTTGAGAGATTTTCCGCGGATTTTTATCGAAGATTTTATTCCCAGTAGAGCAGAACCGCTATAACTGGTATTGATATCAACTGTCAAGAGAGCAAGGCGAAGTCAAGCACGAGTAAAACTTGTTGGAAGTAACAATGAGTACATTTCTCTGAATGTCACCGTTGGCATGAATACCTGCTGAGAGATATCCTTTCAGCTTTTAGAAGCGACAACTCGTGACAAACGTCTTTATATCTTTCGGGCCGCTTTACAATCTTCGCACGGCTTTTTAGAACATCTCTATTTGCTTAACGATGTTTCTTTCTTCTTTCTTTCTTCCTTCCTTTTTTGTTTTTTTCTTGTTTACGAAGATTCACGAACGACTAGTTATCATTAGTCACTTTTCGTTTTCCAGAATTTTCCTCGACGAGACACATCTTTCGATGCAAATTTTCTCAAAAGAGATATCAAGATTTTTAATTAATGTTGGATACAAGAAAAACATTTGAATAAAAGGATTTATATCTTCAACTATTCGAAAAAAAAAAATACCAATAAGGATCTCTACAGGAAAGGATTTATACAGTGAAACATGGAAATAAATTTTATAACATCCTCACAAAATTCGCCATCGTTTAGAGCTGGAACGGAATCGAATATTCCTAATAAAACATCCGAGAGATAATCGAGGCAATAACGAATCGTTGTTAAATCCCTTTTAAGAACAATTGGTTTGAAATAATTTACAATTGGAACGATTTGTGAACTCACCAGCGTCTCTTGCCCTCTTGCACGCCTGGTACATGTCGTCCCTGATCTCTGGATTTCCATCCGCGATCGTCTCGCCAACGGTGACGAACCTCTCCACAGCCAGATTCACCGCTTGCCCGACTCTGGCAACAGCACGGAGACTTCTGTCCGAACATAGCGGACGTTCTCTGTGCGACACTAACGTGGAAATCTGAAAGAAGGGAGGAGACGAATTGAAAATTGGAAAATCAATTTTCGTGAGACGTTGAATCAGAGGGAGGTGATTTTTTTCTGAGATGAATTTAATATTTCATTTAATACATTTCGTTTGTGATAATTGTTATTCGATATTGAAAAATGTTCTGTTAAAATTGATTTCTTAAATATTTTTATTATTTCAGGTGGACTAGAACGTGCTAAATTTTCAGATACTTTTCTTTGGTATTCGAAGAAAAATGTAAGGCAATTAATTTTAGGAATTAATTATTTCTTGATGTTGCAAAGTGTTTGGTGAAATTGTTCGATCTTGGTTTGAATATTTTAGTAGATGCTAAATTTTAGAAAAATCGCCATTTCTAAATTGTATGATATTGATGAGGATAGATACACGAGAAGAGATAAAATAAAATCGGAACAAGTTATTTTTATTCGATTATCACGACAACAATGCGTGCAAGGTAAAGAGAAATTAATATCGGTCAGTGAAAAAAATTAGAATTAACACGAGTTCTCTCCAAAATTGGAGAAAATAAAAATCGAGCTTAGTCCGAAACTAAGATTATAGAGATTTCAAAATGTTTCCTACTTCTGGGAATCTAGTTTTTTTTTTTTTTTTTTTTAATTTTCATTATTCCGAGCTCGAGAGAGTTAACCTGTTAACTAGGTCGTTTAACACGTAGAAAATCCTCTTAGCACGAGATTAAAAATTAATTTAGAGGAATTAATATTTGCAATTATCTTCCATATTTTCCGTATATCGTTCCAGAAATCTATTTCATTAATGTTCAAATCAATTGTAAATCGGACAAAACTGGATGCTCGAGTGAAAATTTATTTATTTTTCCTTTAAATATTTATCTTGCACATTTTTCATTCAAACAAGTATCCTAACACATCGAATATACGAAATTTATACGAGTTTTAAAATTCTATTTGCGTTCAAATAAATAAGAATTTACGAAAAGCAACATGCTTTAGAAAAAAAAAAAAAGAAAAAAAGAAAACACGTTCGTGCTCGACGATTAGTCGACAATAGTTCGGGTCAAAAAATTGCGAGAAAGCTTGGAGAAGCGACACTATCGAAAATTTTTCGAAAGATATAAAATGTGATGATAAAAAAGATTATATTCCATGGACATTTGCTGCGCTAACGAGAATAAAATTAGCGTGTAACAATCGGCTGGCTGTATTCCAGGTTACCGTTCTAGCCGCGAATGAAACACCCATTTAAAAAGCAACTATTCATGCAGATTAACTCCGGTAAATTGGTTGAATTTCCACGAATACAATATATAGATCCCATACATCACGTACAAAGGCCGATATATTTTATACGGAATGGGATACGTGGCTAATTCACCGCCAAGAAGAAGGGATATTCCCTTATATATATATATATATTTCTCTAAAATATTGGAAAAGGACATTTTTCAGATAGAAAACTATCACGTGAGTCGTATGTTATTACGATTCAAACATAATTGATGGTGATTAAAATTTGGATTATTTTCTTCCAATGATTGATCACGAAGAAAAAAAAAAAAACAAAAGAGGAAAAATCGAAATTTCGAAAGTATCGGATATCCGAACGGATGACGAATCTAAAAATTAGGTTTCCAATATTCATACAGACGTTCCCATTCTCATTTCAACATCCCTTTCATACCCACGTTTTTAAAATATTAATTAAAAATTCGAAGAAAAAAAAAAAAAACGAAAAAGCCTCGAGAAATTATCCTCTCCTCTCACTAATTACTACAACCGTTGCCTTGTCCTCGTTTAAATATAAAAGAAAAAATATATATATGTATCTACGTGATGATACACTTCCAATCGTCATCGATCACGTAACCAGCCACCGGCGATGTGGCGAATAACCGAAAGCGTATAGAAACGAGATGCTTAGAAATCCTTATTATTATTATTATTATATAACCAACCAATTCAAACCGTCTTCTCTAATTAATCTTTCATCCCTGCTCGTAACACGTCGCATGAAAGACAAGCTGCGTGAAGCGGCGGCAAGCCCTCCCCTCCCCTCCCCTCGAAAGCAACCATCCACCGCTCGGATTTGTTTTGTCTGCCGGCTAACGACCGGCAGACTGCGATCTTTCTTCCCTCCGCCTCCGCACGGGTGGTGTATAAATGGCGAACGATGGTGGTATTCAAGGAAGGTGCACACGAGCGTAACCTTGTCGCCTCGGGCGAGAAGATTCTATGCGCATACGCCTCGTTTTCCGCACAATTAGAGGATGCGTTTTAACCGACATTCGTCTTGAAACCATTTCCAGAGAGAGAGAGAGATGGGGGTGAACGAGGGATAATGGGGCGAGTCTGTTTGTTTTAAAAGGAGATTTGGAGATTGACTGATCGCGTTGAGATACTTTTGCACAATTGATTTTTCGTTATACAAGTATCGAGTTTAATTTACTGAATATAGTGAAGGTTCGTTTATTTATTTATTTAAGTTTCGATATAAAATGATTCCAACAGATATTTCACGATACGTTTTTCATCATTGAGATCGATGAACAGAAAAAAGGAGCAAGGAATAAAATTTGTATATATACGTTTACATAGGACAGGTTTTGATCGATATAAACGATTTCGAGAGGGAGAGGGCAGAAAAATGTGGCGGATGATGAGGAGTGTTTTTTTTTTTAAAGGAAAATAATCGCATCGAGATGCTTTTGCAGAATTTTTCGTGCAATGATTCGAATAAATATCCATGATTTAACGCTACCAAGTAATTTGATCACTAATATTCCATTAAGTATTTATTTACTTAAAGTATCGCTGGCTGTTAATACGAAATGATTCCAAACGCGTCAGATGCATTCCATCAGATACATTTTCCACCACTGACTGAGATCAAAAAACAAAGAATAAAATTACGGGGAGGAGAGATATAACTACGTGAAGAAATGAGGCGCGAGGAAGAGTCGAGATAATCGCGGGGGAGTAAGAAAGGAATGAAAAGCCCGTGTAAGAAAACAGGATGAAAAAGAAGAAGAAGAAGAAAAAAAATAATAATGGACCAGGCAAAGACCGTACCATTTGCATGAGAAGCGTCGGGAAGGGAGCAATGGAAGAAATGAAAGAGAAATTGACAGAGGGAAGGGTAGAGGGAGGAGATATATCGGGACGAACTCGAGGCGTATTGTTTCACAACGTGAATGCGTACAATCGAATGAACTTGCACGCGCCTATGTATGTATGTATGTATGTGTGTTCACGTGGGCGGATACACCCTCCAGGGATACCAATACCATCAGGTTGAATGTACACTAACGTGCATAATCAGATATCCGTATCATTGTGATCGATCATATAAATTTGATCAAATCGACGATTTATTAATTGGCGGAACCGTTTCGTTGTGAAACCGATTTTAACCGAAGAAAAAGATTTCTAAAAAATTTCCATTACCAAAAGAGAAAGAACCAAATTTGTTCATCCTGATAGAAAGATTGAATCTTGAATAATAAAAATCCCCGCACTCGATCGCAACGACTTTAAAAAGTAAAGAAAGAAAAATAAAATCGTCCCTTTCCTTTTTTCTCGTCGACTCGATAGCTCAGCACTTTCCAAAGATACTGTACCCGGCTCGGATCCATACGTTGAACCATTGTCGAATGTCGCGTGTCGGCACACGACGTTGCAACCGAGTTATACACAACCGTGCACGCATTGTGGTCGCGATACCGTGGACTCGCCAATCCTCCCCTCCATGTCGAGCACGTGGAAGATTTTAATATCGCCCGTGGGTGGATACGAGAGAGAGAGAGAGAGAGAGAGAAGAGAGAGGAGAGGATGGGCAAACAATGACGACTGTTGACTGAGATTCCAGCCGGGAATTAGAGAGACATGCCGTTTTTTCTCTCCCCTCTGTCTGTTTTTCCCTTTTCTAGGTATCTACACCGTTTACCATCCCTCAGCGACACATGTTTTCCCGCAATTGGTGGCCGCAATCGAGGAAAGGATAAAAGATACATTCGTCTGGTGCAGGGAGAAATGTCGAGACTTTTTTAATCCCCTTACTTGCCTCGATTATCTTCTCCTGTTCGAGATCGATATCGATGCGCACGCGAAGACAAACAGCATTCCCTTCCGGGAGGGAGTTGCAACGGATGAATTGGGATGAAATTTCACGGAATTTCAGAATTTCAAGCAACAACACTGGATTGCTAAATCTGATATTCGTTTGAAAAGCTCGAATTGTATAATGGAGACGTGAAAAAATGAATCGAGGATCAACTGGGAATCGATTAAATGTTATGAAAAGTTTTGTTTGAGATTGAATTGAAAAAAAGGGGGGAGAAAAAAAAAATGTCTTGAGAAACTTTTTTCAAGGGTGTGTCAGACAGTCTTCGGTTGATCCGTGAAGGAAGGAAGGAAGTTAAAATGGCGGAGAAGTTTTGCTTGTCGCCGAGATGAAAGTTCATTCTTCTCGATGTGGCGTTTAATTCTTAATCCTTGTAATTTTTATGGAAGGTAATTGATTAATTGAAAAGTGCGTTGAACGGTCTTCCTTGTGCAACAAGTTGAAAATAACGAAGTTCTTGTCGAGACAAGTTTTCTTTTTCCTTTCAGGGGAGGGGAAAAAAAAGATATCCGATCTTTTAATTATTAATTACATTTTTGTAATTGATCAATTGCGTTGAATTGAAAGTTATATTTTTCAACGCGAAATAAAATACAAAACTGGTTCCTCCAATTTCATTAACACTTATCGCTCGGTCACGAAATTAATCGCTCAACTGTTACCAGAAATTTGCATGATGGCAAACAAATTGCATCGAGGTTCGTGTATAATCCCGAGGTAATAACTTTCGCCTGAACGTGAAAGGAAAGATGAACTTATGCGAGGAATTCGTTGTGTCGCCAAGATGTGTGGCCTCTTTATATATATATCGAACAAATAAATTACGGTGGAACGTTGTCGGCCGTGGGAACTTCCGGCCAAGTTTTCATCCGAGGTGGCAGAAGGCG